AAGTGCTGGGATTACAGGCTGAACCACGAAGCCCAGTCGAGGGTTTTTTTTTTGAAACTTTTTAAAATCCTTGGACCATCACTCTGGCAAAATAAGTAACTTTTGCAATGACGAATGTAATCCTGTGTTATAACATTATGCTTTAAAAATTTTTAGTACTTCAACTCTTCAAGTTCTTAATTTAGTCTTTTTGGGGTGAGGTAAGAAAGAAGCTTCAGAAGTCACACCTACCCCACACCCTCCTCCTAAACTGCCTGCAGACCAGGTAAATTGATTTCACTCACAGCAGTTTGTGATCAGCTATAGTGCTTTTCAGTGCCAAATTACTAATGACTTTAAAATCTCCTTCCAGACACAAGAATTACTAATCCAACATAGGATGGATGACAAAATAACTTTTTATTTAAAGTATTACTAGTTATTTTTGTTAAACTTTAAGGTAATATTTCCCTATCAAAAGGCCAATACCATCCTGCTTCTCTCGCCAAAAGCTGAGAGATGTAAATCTCCCCTCTTTCTGGAGTAGAGGTTACCTAGACTTTACCCTCTAGCATATCAATCATTGTAAAGGTATATCATATCAGACCTATTATAAAATCAAAAGGGACAGGGCGCAGTGGCTCACACCTAATCCCAGCACTTTGGGAGACTGAGGTGACAGGATTGCCTGAAACCATGAGTTTGAGACCAGCCTGGGCAACTTGGCGAGACCTCATCTCTGCAATACAAAAAATTGGCCAGGCGTAGTGGCACACAACTATAGTCCCAGCTACTTGGAAGGCTGAGGCAGAAGGATCGCCTGAACCCAGCAGGTCAAGGCTGCGGTGGCCGTGAGCGTGCCACTGCACTACAGCCTGGGTGACAGAGTGAGACTCCAACTCAAATAAAATAAAATAAAATAAAATAGCCGGGCTCAGTGGCTCAGCCTGTAATCCCGCGCCTTTGGGAGGCTGAGGATGCGACCGCGGGTTCGAGACCCGCGGCAAAAATAAAAAAGAGAGTTTTCTCCTGCCAACGTTTACCTGTCTCAAATTCTCTTGTTCACAATTATTTCCTACAATTTAAGCTACAACGTAACTGCATGTCTCTAATGTTTTTAATTTTTTCTTCTTCAGACTTTGTCAAAGTAATTGTATTTCCTTGTTAAAGTCATTAGTAAGAAAACCCCTTATATAACTGTCTATAATTTTTTTTTTTTTTTTTTTGAGTAGGAGTCTCACTCTGTCGCCCAGGCTGGAGTGCAGTGGCACACACACGGCCACCCCTGCGTTGACCTGCTGGGCTCCGGCGATCCTTCCGGCTCAGCCTTCCAAGCTGCTGGAAGTACAGGCACGTGCTACCATGCCCAGCTAATTTTTAAAAATTTAATGTAGAGACGAGGTCTTGCCAAGTTGCCTAGGCTGGTCTCGAACCTGCGGGCTCAGGCAATCCACTTGCCTCGGCCTCCCAAAGTGCTGGGATTACAGGCTGAGCCACCGAGCCCGGCCTATAACTGTCTATAAATTCTTATCCCAAAAAACTCAAAGAAACTTGAAGACAAGCTGAGGAAACATTCACATACGGACTAAGGAATTCACTGCCTGCACTCCTCTAGTGGGTGTTGAGTCCACTAAGGTAACTATAAATACAATTTATCAGACATCAAAGCCTCAACATACCATAACAGCAGCGACAATGGCCTTTATTATACAGGCCATTTTTATTATTACTTGTACACAGTGCTTTGTATGCAGATATTAAAGATATTTAATAACTCCATGGGCTTCTGTCCTCTCATCCCCTCCTCTTGCTCTAGACAGGTAGGGTCAGCTCTACAACTCTCATTCAGCAGGAAGCAGATACAGAAGTCTGACCTCCGTCCCAATCCCTGGTTGCAAATAAGAATATTTTTGAAATACCAAGAGGTGGGAAATTAAAGGAGGGGCCCTGAGAAACTTAGAATCAAATTAGCTCACATTTTGCCTCAGCATAGGCATTTTTGCTTAGACTGACACACTTTGAATCTAGCACAGGTTGGACACAGATGGATAAATTTCCAATAGGCCAGGTTTTAGGAAGTGTTCAGACATTTTACTGCAGGCCAAGCTGGCAGCCTACCCCACCCCCTGGGCAAATCTCCATCAGATACAAGACAAGGACAGAAAAACCTTTCAATTCATGGGGTAGCATAATCTCTAAGAAGTTTTCAGGCCCCTTGGCTGGTTGAAGCCGTATAAATGACAAGACCACCTTTTGCTAAAGAGCTTGTGGATTGGACTGACAGGTTTCTTGCAGGAAAAACCCCTACCCTTGTCTCCTCCCACCTAGCCTATCACCATGGCAGCAATCATGTGGCTAACCCACCCATCTGCCTGCTGTCCATCACCTGATATCAATACCTGTGCTTACCTGCTCTCTTTGCGATGATATGGCATTGACCACCACCCAATCACCGTAATGACCCTCGACCATCAAAGGGAAGGATTAAAGGGACTCAACCAGGAGCATCCCACCATCATTGCCAGGCCATTGTGGCCATTGCCTTGCTAAGCTATGGGGTGTCTGTGAGCTCCTTGAGCTATGGCCGGGCCATGTTTCCTGGCTTTGGCCCTCCCCTCTACCTTGGGGAGGTGAATCTCCTCTTTCTCTCTCTCATTTACTTTCTAAATAAACTTTATTTTCTAATCTAACCTCTACGCAATTCTTTGCGTCTTTCATGCGGCATCAGATCGCACACCAGGCACACCCACAGGTACCAACGAGACCTAACAATCATTATAGACTCTCATCGGGTTCTCTGAAGATTAAATGGAAAAGGCATGCCAAACATATGGCTTGGAACATTTAGCAGGCAGCCAACAACGTGTGTTACTTTCTTCCATTTCAACCTGATGGGAGTGGGGCTGGTGAAGCCCCTGGAAGAATCCCATATTAGTCCTCCCCCTAAGACTGAGATTCTACATTCCCCATCTGTAAAATGGACATGGGGGTCAGTGGCCTCCTCTTGCTGCCCCAGGTTGGCTGGACCGGGATCCCTCTACCCCTGCAGGCGCCCTCTCTTCCTGAACAGGGTCCCAGAGGCCAACTCAGCACCCCGCCTTGGGGCTGAGGAGAAATTCTCCCCCAGCAGCTCTTTCCCTGGCCCGTCTCTCCCCTGGCCTTGCCTGCAGGGTCTGTTCAGGTTCGCCTTGGTGATCCCTTTCCTGGCACTTGTTCTTAAGAGAAGGTATTTCCTTCCTAGGCTGCTTGTGGCAGGCGTGGGCGGGAGCCAGCAAGGCAGTACAGAAGTGCCAGCCACCTTCTGCCTCTCTAGGCAGACAGGAAGCCACCAGAGGGGAAGTCTCTTGGACTACGGGTCATCAGAACAGATCTGGGAAGGGGATGGGGATGGGGGTGGGAACAGGGATGAGATGGGGGTGAGGGTGAGAACAGGGGAGGGGGTGAGGATGAGGGAGTTGACGAGACTCCCCGTTCCCAGGCAGTTGGTTGGGGACCTCTGCCCCACCCCTGGTGAGACCTCTCGGCCCATTCTTTGTCGGCTCCCTTGCCCCCACTCACCCATTCATAGCCCCCTCTCCTATCCCTCCACCCCCATCTCTGGGCAAAAGACTTTCCAGAGCTTTTACACCTTGTCGCAGTGTTCCTTGGGTTATATTTAGTTGTGAAGAGTCTGTCTTCCCTGCTAGTCTGAGAGGTCCCCAAGGGCAGGGACTGACTGAGTCACCTCCAATCCCCCTCCATGCCTTCGGCAGTGCCTTTTGTATACTGTGTGACCTCAACGAGCCCCTTGATGTCTCTGGGACTTAGTTTCGCGAGCCACCTGGACAAGGTGACATCTGTGCTCTCTTCCGGTCCAGGACAGTGGGGAATCTTCTTCCACCCCTTCTGACCCTTGTTATGGCTTCATTAGCACCCCCGCTCCTACATTTTTGTCTTGGTCTAGTCACCAGCACCTCTGACTCTCTCTTCCCTAACAGGGTCCCAGGGTCCCAATGTCCTCTCCCATTACTTCTCTAAGGCTTGCAGGGTCATAGGCATCAGATCAGCCAAGAAAGCTGGTCTGGGCTTGGGGGGCCTGGGAGGCTTGGGGGCTTTCCTTTAGGGCCCTTCAGGAGGTGAGCCCCCCAATCAGACCCCCTTCCTGAAGTGGGGAGCCAGAACCGGCCTGGTCTTCCACCTTCCAGCCCCAGGGTTGCCCAGGCCATCCACTGGTTACAACTCTAGTTTGTGGCCGGGATCCTTGGGTCTCTTTGGCCCAGGCTTTCCAACTTGCCCTTGCCTTCCCGAGGCTCCAGCACTGGGTGGAAGACTCCGAGACCATGGGAGGACCCTTGGCAACCCTTGCCTTCCCCATCTCTCTTGAGGCACGAGGGCTTCACCTCTCCCGGCCACTCATGGTGAGTGGTCCTTCCACACATCCTTGAATAACCGCCTAGGATGCCATTACCTAGGATGCCATTGTTTTGGTTGTTCTCACCTGAGTTGGAAATCCAAGGCCCTGAGACATCCTTGCCACAGAGCTCCTCCTGCCCCTGTCTTTGGAGCACTGGATGCCTCCATGCAGTCTCCTTGAGCCAGCCACATCTTCTGCATCTGAGCCATCACGCTCATGCCTCCCTGTCCACCTCCGAGGCTGCTGACACACTCCTCCACCTCCCATTCTGCACCTGGCACACTCGACTCATCCTTCGAGATTTTGCTCAAGCCCCCCCCCAAAGCCTGCCTGGGACCTCCTGACATCAGCTCTGGGCTGGGGACCCTAGTTCTGCACATTCCACTTCCCCGTACTGTAATCACTGATTATCTCGCTTACCTCCCCAGAGGACGGTAGACACCTTGAGGATAGAACACCCTGAGTTGTTTATCGCTGTGTCCTCAGCACCCAGGAGAGTACCTGGCACAGTTGATTCCCAGGAAGTGTTTGCTGACTGACTAAGCAAAATACCCCATTTCCAAAGAAGAAGTCATAGGTAGCAAGGCCACCATGGGGTGAGGTATGGTCCCAGCTGTAGGCACTGCCCACTCTACTTTTAAGTTCTCAGAAACAAGATGGTTCCTGCTGGGGGGCTCCGGAGAGAGGCGATAATGGGCTTGTGGGCTGGGCTGTGGCAGAGAGATGGCTCAAACCTCCCCCAGTCTTAGTGGCCCAAGCCCCGTCCTCCCTCCCCTGCTGCAGCTCCAGGCAGGATGGAAGGAGCGAGCGTGGGCTGTGCCTCCCCCGCAGTGAATGTCCCAGGGGAACCCGGCATCAGGGATTTCCTGGCAAGGAGATGGAAAGATAAGATAATCGGAGGTGCAACTCAGAGCAGACGTGACAGCAGAGAGGAGGGAAACCAGAACAAGGGGGGACAGGCGGCCCAGGCGCAGAAAGCGCTGTAAAGGGGGAGCTGGGTTGGAACTGACAAGACAGGGAGCAGGATTTCCTTCTACACCTGTGGCTCCTTGAAGGCCTAGAGCATCCCCAAACCTGGCCCCTTGTCCCCTCCAGAGCAAGCAGGGCGTGCTTCCTGCAGACCCCGGCCTGGTGGTGGCCTCACGGCCCACTCCTGGCTCCTCCGTCCCAAGCCTGCACGGGCCTGATTTGGCATACAGGCGACAGAGTGCCGCTACTGTGCCTGGTTCTGGAGTTTTCAAAGCAAGAAGAATTAATTAGCTCTGTGGGTCAGTCAGCAGCTCCCACACCAGGACCAGGGCTGAGACATGCCGAGTTTCCAGGTTCTTAGCAGAATTCCCTCCTGGTCTCGCGCTGCCCCAGAGTGGGTCCCCGCCCCGACCGCTGTCCTGGATTAGTCTCAAGTCCCCCCCAGCTTGGGGCAGGCAGGGATCACAGAGCATCGTGGGCACAGCATGCAGGCGGCGGGATTCCTGTCGGGCCTCCTCCATGCCCAGAGTCCTTCACTGGGCCCTGTGACCCCATTTCGTCCTTTGGGGCTTATACAGAGCATCTGTCCCTAGAAGGTGCCTATCGGTGTGGGCGTCCCCTCCCTGGCTGGGTCCCTCTGCAGGAGGGGCACCGGGTGACACCAGGTGAGTGTGCCTTGTGCTGCCACCTGGTGTCTGATGCCCTCACTGCAGCGCTGTCTCCAGTCCCACTCCCTGCTGGCCCAAGAGAGAGGAACAAGAGGCCATGGGCGCCAGGCCGTGCGGGTGGGGGGGGGCCGGGGGTGAGGGTGGAGGCGAAGGCTGTTTGGAAAGTGGGTGAGGTCTGGGTGGGGCGAGAGCAGAGGACAGAGAGACAGGGGTGGGAGGGAGAGGAGAACAGGTGTCCGGGGGTTCAAGGGCAGCAGTGTGCCAGGGAAGGGCATGCCTGGGAACTCAGAGTGACTGCAGAGCCAGCCCTGGCCTGCTCTCAGACAGACACCTGGAGCTGAGGGGGATGCCGTCTCCTGTGACCGAAGCCCCCTCTCCGCCACTCCCTGTGGTCGAAGGCTGGCAGTCCGCAAGGTGGGAGGCTGGGGGCCTCTCCAAGCCCCTGAGAACGCCGAGCTGGGGACACGTGTGCACATGTCTATGAACACGAATGTGACTGCTTGGGGAAAGGGTCCTCTCACAAGTCATTTTGTAAGCAGAATTCTTTCCATCATGCCCCATTCCCTCCTCAATGAGAAGAGCCTGGGGTAGTGTGGGCTGGAGCTTGGCCAGACTGAGGGTCAAATCCCAACTCTGCCATTTTCTGGTTGTGTGACCTTGGGCAAGTCACTTAACCTCTCTGAATCCACTGCGCCTCGTGGAAAAACAATAGCCATTGTGCTTTCCTGGCTAGGGTGTTTTGAGGAGTGAGAGACTGCATATGAGCCTCAGATTTGTTTTTAGCACCAGCTCAGCTCACTCCTCTTCCCAGTCCCCCACCCCCAGACAGACCTTTTCCTGGAGTCTTGGGGGTGGAGGAAGCAGAAGCCGCCAAGCCCGAGGTGGGGGCCTGAAGCTGTCGACACAATTTCCTCTGAACCCCCCGAGAAGGCAGCTGAGGGCAAAAGCGCCAGGATCAGATTCCGCCTCCCAAAGCCCCCACATCACAGAAGCCCCTACGGCCAGGTTCAATCCTGCCCCCGGAGGTCCCAATCCAAGCCCTGCTGTCCCCCCACCTCCTCTTCAAGCCTCCTCATGACTTCTCCGCCCCTCCCCCCACCCCCTGTGTGACCACCCGGACAAGCATCATGAGGCTGGCACCACTGTTGTTATTACGACTGTTAATGAGATTCAGCAGCATCATTATTTCAAAGCCCTTTTAATGAGACACAACAGTTTCCATAATTGATAAAGATTTTACAATGCTGGGGGGAGAGGCCACAATTCTCTTCCACAAAATACCCGTTTTGACTCTGCTATTAATATTTCCGAATCACTACCCAGATGCCCCGCTCTGGGCACATCCTCTTCCAGAGAAACCCTCCAGGCCACCGTGGGAGGACGTTATGGGGAGGAAGGGGCGCCTTTTTCTTTTCACCAGACTGGCCACTGCAGGGCTCTGGAGAGCACCCCAAAAACGCAGCCAGCACATCCCAAATAAGCTTCCTTGGCCCCTACTAGGAAGAGGGGACCAAGGGAAGGGGAGCCCCAAAAGACCCAGGCATGCTAAGAGTCACCCTAAGTAACTCTACATTATTATTCGGCTGCCTGCCGCCCAACGGGGGAGGGGAGGGCAGGAGGGCGGGTGGAAAGGAGGGCAGGGTAACAGTCCAGCTCTCTGGGTTCCCTGTGACCCCGAATCCTCCAACCATTAGAAGAAAAGAGATCCCAGAGCACCCCTTCTTATCTTCCACTCTCATTAGGGAATAGACAGCTACAGAATTCTACAAAAATATAAAAGCTTAGTCTGCAGATCCAGGTGACAAAACTCTAGGAATTTTGTACAGCTTTGCTTTTTAAAAAAATGGCAGCTCCCACAAGCACTCCCTCTCCCCACCCAAGGAGACCAGAGGAAAGGAGTTTGGCATCGGTGCACACCCTGAAAGGATTAAACCAGGTGTTTGCTTCAAGGAGTGGCGTCAGTTCAGTCCAAAAGAGTCATCAGAAAAGCTCTCATCAGCTTGGATAACGCAAGGCCGGACAATACTTCCAGGCCTAGCTTCCTGGTTCGCGCTGTCCCTGAATGAGGGCTGCCTGGGAGGTTCCAAGAACCCAGTCCAGCCCCAGGGTGTAAAGGCCTCTGGGGGGAGGGGGAAGACTGTTCTAGGGAGTAGTGTTGGGGCAGATGCTTGGGGGCACCAGGCAGGCGACAGGCTGGCTGGGCTCGTGGTCATTACCTCTTGGCACCAGGCTTTCAGACGAGAGAATATTGCCCATAGTAGTGCACCAGAAAGGTGACTCTGGGCCACACCCCTCCCCACTCCCCCTGCCCCCTGGTGGCTGTCTCTGCCCCTCCCGCCTCTGCCTTCCTACCTCTGCCTTCACCCCTCCCTCCTCCTTCCTCACCCCTCCCTCCTCCTCCTCCACTCCTCCCTCCTCCGCTGGCCCTCTCTAGGCAGGCAGCAGCAGAGCCTGCAAACACCTAGATGGCGGTCACTCATCACCCCCCAGGAGACCAGCTCCCCACTCAGCAGCCTGGCTGCTGACCCTACCACCTCCACCAGGAGGTCACTTCTGGATGCCCAGCCCTGGGCCCATTCTCGGGAGGAGCAGCCCACTCAGTGTATACAGCTTAATTCCATTGCCAGCAGGTGAGCGGGGCGGTTGAGGCCCTTGGGGGAGCAGCCTGCAGTGCCAGTCAGCCAAGGCTCCCCCAGGGAGGAGGCTGAAGCCCCGCCGGCTCAGGTCACGCATCCAGCCCGAAGGGTGGCAAACCCCAGGCTGAAGCCTCGGGAAGGAAAACCCAGAAGCGCTTGCCCCCTCCCCATCAACCCACAGATTCAGCTCTGCAGCCGCTGAGGCAGCCTCCCCAGCCTCAGTCGGCCCCATTAACCAAAACAGCTTCATTATGCCAATTTCCAGCTTTCAATGTGCGGCTGATAGCTGTCAGCAGAAATAAGAGTTAATCTGGAATTACTCACATTCACTGAGCTGCCTAGCTAAGAGGAAGCAGGAAAGCTTGAAAGCGGCAGTAGCAGACCCTCCTCCCAGCCCAGCACCGGGCACAGGGGCTTCTCCTACCAGCCCAGGGAAGGGCAGGCTAGAGGTTGCAGCCCCTCAGAGCAAGGCGTTTGGGTTCTCTTTCAGACACACACACACACACACACTCATAAATACACTCCCACTCATATATGAAACACGCAGACACACACACAAATACACCATCATACACACACACACACACACACACGCACACAGACTCACACACGGAGGCACCCCCGAGCCTCCCCTCTCTGCCGCCCACCGCCCACCTCCAGGACTCTCTCCAGCGCCATCTGGACGTGCCTAATCTCCATCCCCTTCGCTTTTACTCTGCACCGTGATTAAATTTTTATTTAGGAAAATTACTTTATTATATATATAGATATGTATGTATGTATATATAAAAAGGTTCCATTTCATTTGTAAAATCTCATTTTTTTCTTTTTCTCTTTTTTTTTCCCTACAGAAAATGATGACGAGGTTAAAGGAGAAAATAAGTTACATTACAGTTTCCAAAATGGTTCTCGCTCCCCGCTGAAGATGGGCCGCCGTCGGGGCTGTAATGCTCTCGCGGTCCCAGCTTGTGCTTTGCAAGAAGAGGGGATATAACTAGATTGGTTATTTTAGGTTAAAATAGCCAAGAGACAGACGCCTTCGCCTCAAAAATATTCTGAGACACATAAAAGTAGAAGGAAACAAGTCTCTTCAGTCACAAAATGTCGTACATCCCGCGTATACTAGATTCAATTAATTTAATAAAATAGAGTATACATAGAGATTCTGCACAAACGTATTGCTTTCTCCCAGCAGCTCCTGGTGTTGGGAACCTCGGCTGCACTGGGCCTCTCTTTCTGCCTGGAGCCAGGGTTGCCAGGGCTGCTGCTTTTAACTCTCTTTGGAAGCTCTTTTTGCAGGTACCCAGTGCCACTGAGGCAGGGAGGAGTGCCTCCTCGGTGTCTATATGGAACTTTGTTCAGGAATATAGCCCAGGAGGAGGAGCTAGGACTTGGCACCCAGTGGAGACAGGTGAGTGGGGGGTGGGGCAGGATTCAGGGATCCAGGTCTGCTGGGTCAGAGGATAAACCGGAGAGACTCAGCACGTCTTTCTTTGGGGAGGGCGAGGCAGCCATGCTGTCGGGGGGGCCGGAGGCCGAGGGATCCTTGGAGTCGCTGGACGGAGCCCTCCTCCGGAGGCAGATGCCAGGGCTGGGCGGGGGCCGAGGGCCCTGGCTCTCGGGGGGGTCTATGGAGATACTGGGTGGGCTGAGTTTTTTCTTGGGCCGGCTCCCAGGCCCCCCAAGAGGCTGGCCCCCGAGGTTAGAGGGGTCTGGGCCCAGGCGGGGTTGGGAGCCGCTGTCCAGGCAGCTGACGGCGATGGAGTGTCTCCTCTGTTCGTCAAGCCAGGAAGTGGGCCGGCGCAGGCCGCTCTGGGCCTCCACACTGTAGCACTTCTTCAGGTCCCGTGGGGTTGGGGGCTCCTCCTGGCTGCCGGGGGGCAGGAGGTCTCCTGAAATCCAGCTCAGCTCCGTGTCCAACTCTAAGCTGCTCCTGGTCTCCAGAGGGCCCTGGTCCCGGTTGGGTCCAGGGCCTGGGCAGGGGGCTGGCGGGGGCATGTGCTTCGAGATCTTGCTCTGGCTGCGGGAATGCTGCTGCACCTGGATGCTGGACTGGCCCCAGAAGGAGTAGGCTCGGGCCAGGGGTGGGGAGGGCCTGCTCACCTCCGCCAGCAGATCTTCTCGGCTGCCCAGGCCCTGAACGTCCAAGGAATCGGTCCTTATTGCTGCCTGTATGGGGTAGGGGTGGGGATTCAGCCCAGGGGTGTCCTCTCCAACACAGATTTTGTCCTTCCTGCCCAGCTGGATATCCTGCCCCTAGCCCCCAGCAGCTGCAAGACCACCCTTGGCAAAAGTGCCTGGGACTGCTTTTACTGGGAGACAGGGGCCGTGTGCAATCTGACCTCTACGGCCCACCATGCCTCCTCCCGTGCCAAGTCTTGTCTTCCCTTCTCCAGGCCCTGGCCTCCCCACGCCTACGGGAATCGCGGTCTCTGCAGCCCCTGACCCCCAGGGTGCAAGAAGGCACCCGGCTCATCTCGGCTCCCCAGGGGCTCCTTCATGTCCCAGCCTTCACACAGGTTGTCCCTTTGGCTTTGAATGCTCTTCCCGATTGGCGAGCGTCACAGGTTTGTGATGAAAGTCTAACAGTCTCCACACCCAGGTAAAACTGACCCTGTCTTCCTCTGGGAACCACACACATGAGCACGGGGCCGCTGTCACCTGTTGCTACAATAACTTAATGGCAAATACGTCTCTGCTCTTCAGGGGTTGCGTCCCTGGGTGCCTGGTGCACGGAGGCTGCATAATGGACATTTGCAGAATGAATACAGCCTAGGCCTGCTTCTCCTATGTCACACTCACTCCAAAGGGCACCCACAGGACACGGCCTTGTCACCAGTGGGCAGACGAGTCTCACCTGGCTACATGTGGCTCTGCTCTGTGCCCTTGGAGTGTGGGCTCCAGGAGGTGGGCCCTGGAATTGGCCCAAAGCAAAGACACTTAAAACCTCCCCTGTGCCTCTCAGCTCAGTCCAAAGCGTGGAGAGGGAGAGGAAGTCAGAGACCTGGGTTCTACCTCCTGCTTGATATGTGTGGCCTGGGCAGCCACTGCCCCCCTCTGGTCTCCAGGCCTCCTCAGGAAACAAGAGCGGGGGCGCAGGCTTCAAGAAGGCACAGAGCACTTCCACTGTGCCCAGGACTGTGTCCCTGGTACCTGGGACTGAGCCTGGCACATCATTGGCACACAATACACGTTTGCTGGAAGAATCAGAGCGTCAACCCTGGTCATCACCAACAGCCTGAGACCCCCAGCGGAGGGTCCAGCCTCCAGTCCGTGCCCTCCTCTCCGCATCTGCTCACCTGGCGCCGGAGTGGCCTCTGAGCCAAAGGGGAGCGGCCCGGTGGGGGCAGTTTGGGGATGGTGCCCCAGGCGGGGGCGCTATGGGGCTGGAGCAGATGGGGTGCGTCTTTGGGAAGCTGCAGGAAATAGCTGGTGTCTGCTGGCTGGGAGTGAACCGACAAGACGGAGCCTGTGGACGGAGGTGAGCCGGGGAGGGGTAACGGGGAAGAGAGAGGAGCTGGAGCGTCCACGGGCGCCGGCGCCCACTCTCTCCCCCCTCATCAGGACTGCTGTCCTCACCTTCCCCCACCCCAGATCAGGACTGGCTCGGGCAAGGATGGGGTCTCCCCGTGTGAGCCGAGCCGGGCTGGCCCCGCTCTGATACCTGACTGAGCTTTGGGGAGCCCCCAGCCTCTGTGTCCCAAGGACCCCTCGGCTGTGCTCCTCTCCCGACACATGTAGCTGTCGTTCGGCAGAGAGTGCGTCCGGCTGACTCCCGACTTCCGCACAGTCAGCAAGTCTGGTCCAGGCACCCCAGGGTGGGCCTCCATCTGCAAAAGGAGTAGGAGAGGGAGGCAGGAGGAAGGGAGTGTGTCTGGGTTTGGTAACTGAGGCAGAGCTGGACAAAGGAAACCAGAACCCCACACCCCCGCCCGCCCTCACCCCCGCCCTCTCCCAGGACAAGGTGGAGATGAACATGAGCGTGGTTAGGGAGGGGGCGGACGCGTGGATGAGGCCCCACACACAGGGAGGAAGGGGTGGGGGACCAGGCAGCCGGTGCCTGAAAGCTGTGCGGAGCGCATCACCTCCAAGCCTCCCACCGGGATGGAGGAGGGAGTCAGGAGGCACCAGAGAAGGGAGAGCAGCCCCCAGCCCCCAGCCCTGTGGGTGGCTCGCGAGGTCATTCTGAAGGCCCCATCTAGAGGCTCTGAAGGGAGCCCTGATGTCCACATGGGAGGGCCTGGGGCCCTGACCTGAGCAGCACAGGAGAGAATGACAAGCTAACAGCATAGCCAGGCGTGGTGGCGCGCGGCTGTAGTTCCAGCTACTTGGATGGCTGAGGTGGAAGGATCGCCTGAGCCCAGTAGGTGGAAGCTGCGGTGGCTGTGAGCGTACCACTGCACTCCAGCCCGGGTGACAGAGTAAGACTCAAACTCAGAAAAAAAAAGCTAACAGCAGCATTCCCTGCACTCCTAACCCTGTGCTAGATGGAGAGAGGGAAGGGGCTTTGCCCGTGAGCAGGGACTGTCACCCCAGGACAGCCTGCAGGTCCGAGGCTGTTAATCCAATTCTTTCAACAGTCCATGGTTCCAGCTCGGGCCTGGGGCAGGTTCATGTGGGCTGAATGACAGATGACCACGGGGGATGTCACAGCTAGCCCCCCCCCACCTCCACTTTAACAACACAGTGACGCTGGGGTTGGCGGGCAAGGCCTGGGGACTGGAGACTCAGCTCCTCTCTTAGTGGACAGACGGGATGAGTGTGGGCTTTTTGCTGTTTCAAAGAAAGCTTGTACTCAGCACTGGGCTTTGGCTGGAGGGAGCCTAGATTTGTCCCCAAGAGGTTTCTCTACCACCCCTGGACGCCCTTCCCCCTGACCTGTCCATTCTTAGTTCTCAGGGAGGCTGTGGTCTTCCTGTCCCCACAAAGGTTCAGTCAGTTACACAAGCCCAGCAGGCCTGAGGCTGGCTACGCTGGAGGACAGCCTTTCTTCCTTTGTGTCTCCTCTCAGCCCCAAGTTCCACTTCTGCCAGCCACCAAGACCCTGGGGGACCCCCCAGCCCTGTCCCAGCTGGGCCCTGCTCTGACAGCAGGAGGGGAGAGGCCAGGAGGAGGGGGCTGCTCGGGAGTGGGGAGCTGGGAAAGGAAGTTGTCAGAACACAAAGAAGCCCCCCCACGGAGTCTGGCGAGGACACAGGGACACACAGGGACAGTGACAGAGGAGACAGGAACAGCGCCCCAGGTGAAGGAGGGCATGGCGGTGGCGGCAGAGATGTGGCTCTCAACCACTAATGTGGTGGTGGAGGTCTCATGTGGGGTGGGGGAAGGAGGGGTGCAGGGATGGGGAGGGCTGGCTTGTACAGGGCTCCAAATACAGAGAAGGATGCTAGGATGCATCCTCTGTTTTGGGCTGTGACGTTCCTGGGGGGCGTCTGGCTTAACCCTTTCATAACCGCTGCCCCTACACCCTTCTGGGCAAGACCCCAATGGAATCTTCTCATTTCTTTGTCGCCAGCGGAGGACCTGAAGACCTCACAGCGGCAAAGCCTGGGGCCCCAGCCCGAGCCTCTGCCTCTGGGTGGAGCCTGGCAGAGTCAGAGGAGGCATCCAGGCCAGCCCTGAGCCGATCTGGAGCCCTGCAGCCAGCCCAGCCCCGGGGGTGGCCGGGGAGGCAGTGAGGGGCAGTGTGTATGTACATTGCTCTCCAGGGCACTAAGTAAGAGTGTGTGAGTGTCATCAGGCAAAGAGTCATCCGTCAGAGCTAGAGAGCAGGATGGTTCAGACACAATCTCTGACGTCAGAGACAGAGCCTCCATCTCAGCTAGAGGGATCTAGACAGGGAGAGAGACGATCAGGCATGAGAAACCAGGGCAGTGCACACGCGTGCGCGTGCACACGTGCACACGCACTCTCTCTCGTTCCCACCGCCCCCTTTTCACAAAGCCAGGGGGGAAAAGGCATCCCTTCTCTCTCCCCACCCTCCTCCCAAACAAACTGCTAGCGCCTCCCCTCACCCACTTTAACCCCCTGCTCTGATCAGAGAGGCTGCAGCAGGCGCCCAAGAGCAAATACCAACAAAGCGACAGAGCGAGGAGACACAGAAACGCATTCTAAAGATGCCCTAGGAACCTTGGCAGCCCCTCCCACACTACCACCACCCAGG